TTCTCAGAAATGAATGCGCTGTCGAATATTATGACTGCAATTATTACATTGAGGTAAATCACGTTCATCAATTACATACAATAGAAATTTCCAAGCACATCTCCATGCTTTCCAAACAAATTTAAATAAGGCGCTACCATGGCAGCGAGTTGACAAATAGTGTGCAGGTGCAGCGGTGCCCTCAGATACGCGGCAGCAGTTGTCGCGGGACGTGCAAGGCCTGCAGCTCTCCGATCTCCCGCCTACGCCCCTAAAGCTCAGGCTTCCTGAAGGTGAATACCGACAAATAATTTTACGTAAGCCAATCAACAATCAGGTATCAAGTGATGTGAGATATGTCTGACACGTACTAGTACCATAATTAGATATCTTAATATCAAAGCGCTAAATAATCTTTTTGAATGATGAAGAGTAGAATTGGCGATCATTTCAAATTCAGAAACCTTCTCCGCCATAGTATTATCATTAGGTATGTTCTAAGATCTAAAAATATGTATAAACTAAATTGGACACTCACTTGATTTTAATTCCTTCTTCAATAGAACATTCATAGACAATGATACTTTTGTCACTTTCATTATAGATTTCTAACAAGAAATCACATATATATCAACATTTTAGAAATCAGAATGTAAAATCATAGGAACTCTTCGAAAATGTACTTCCTTTTTTATACGTTTTCTTTTGGCACTCCTAATCGAGTATTTTGAGTGCATATGCAAGATATCTAATTTAGAAATCATTAACACATATAACATAAATTGGGTTGAGTCAATGCTCCGAAAACAGAAATTAAACGTCGTCCAATTTTTTTTAGTTGAACTGTCTACAGGTTTGAAATGCGGGCGCTGCTGCTGGCGGTGACGCTGCATGGGGCCCTGGCAGCTCAAGTGCACCCCAAGAACAAATACTTTGCCCTCCAAGACAAGAGACTGGACGCCGCATCCGTCACCTCGTATCGCCTCACACCCAACCTCTGTGAGTAACACGTTGATACTGATAATTTGAACTTTTGGTTTGAATTAAAAATTTTAAAAATGAAATTAAAAATTCTGCATATTTTTTGCATTTCCATTCAATCGTCAAGTTTCGATGAAAAAGTGTTACGCTGGTAAAATATCTACGTTAAATATTATTAAGAAAATAATTTGAAACACTTAAACAAAACGCAGCCCCAGCATGTGAAGTATGATTGACCCTTAAATTTAACATTGATCCATTACTAGACTTGTCGTGTTGTGGCGTGATCATGCGACGAGTTCAAGCCAATGCTGCAACCTATTCATTGGTGCATGAACTTGGTCGGTAGTCCAATCACAAGATCATACTACAGCTCAACTAAACATTCTCTGACTTGGGCCAATGTTATGCGTTAAGGCAAAATCTTACACTTGCCAGCGCTATCAGTGTTCTTGCACTTAATCTTATCTCAATCTAATTAGGGAATTAAATGCATGTATCGCCTTTGTATAGCTCTACACCATAGTTTCGTAATGTTGGTCCTCAGTGCAGACAATTGCAGTCTCTGTCGCTGTGTCTCTTATTAACATTAACATCTTAGTGTCTTATTATTCCTTAGGATCACATTTTGCTTCCTTCATAGCCCACATGACAAACAATGCATCTTATTATTACACTAGAACAGAAAGACGTGCAATTCAATGCAACGTTCAATAAAGAACTGCAGTCATGACAATCATACACATAGAAGAATGAATAAGATTTGTTTAAATAGCAATACTCTTCTAGAGCTTGTGTGGGTCATCCTGACCCGTTTTGGCCCGACAACAGGGCAGATCAGTGTATACGTTAAACCCCATAAAGTTTAATAATTTAGACAATCAATGGCACGTGTGAAGTGGTAGAGTTCAGAAAGCCGTGTTCATTAAAAGTTTGTCTAGGCAGAGGTATCAATACTGTTGCTTTGACTCCACAGACCAACAAACCTTTTTCAACATTACTGTAGAAAATGAAGTATAACCTTACAGTGCTCAACTGAGGAAGAGTAAATAAGTAAAAAAAGATAAAGTAATGAATATATCTGATAAATAAATCCGATAAAGTATACATCCCAACATAAAACAAGAATGAACAATCAATTTAGTAGTCGCTTCCGATTCCCCGAAAGTTCACGACGGGCTCCACAAACTGAGTTGATGATATGCCAAAGAAACAAAAGCCATAACTCCAAGTAAATAAGAGGTCATGATATTACCCTAAGTAACTTACAGTGTACTAAGAATAAGCTACACTTCACTATCTCAAAGAAGCTACAACCTTGCACTCACCTTAAAATCTTTTGCCGTTATGATGTAATTTTAAACGACATGTTAAGAGCCATTTTTGGTAAAAACGATTAAAATCGAAAGCAGGGCAGACTCCTATAGAGTTGATGAGCTGAGCTTATACATGGAAGGGATCGGTTCTTCGCTATGTGATGAATAATTTCATGCTTATCTTTATTACTTTCGTGAAACAATCGCACATGCCAATGTGATCTCAGTAGGAGTCAGTGCCAAATAAATGTATTTGAAGTCTGCCTTTTAATTATAGCTGGAGCAAACTTGGATGGGGGCATGAAAGTAATCATAAGAAAAACTATAATTGAAAAACTCTAACAGAAAACCAGGATGTTAATTGCTTCAAACTTAACGCACGTGCACAGATGAAAAAGCTATCGTCACTATAGTCTCCTTGGCAACTAGCCTATTAAACCTCAAGCCACAAGCGTCAGTACAGAACTAGAATCAAGATCATTCAAGCTATTCAAGTAATTTGGAAATTTTTACAATTCACTATTCACCTAAACTCTTGTTAGCTCTAGTCCATGTCATTATTGGCCTACATGTTCGTGGGAGTAAGTATTCAGGCAGATAAGTATTCAGGCAGGTTTAAGTGAAGTTTCAGGCAGTAGTTTACATTTCCTTTTAGATTTCACAAAAAATATCCGGCTCATATATAATAGAATTTCAAAATTTACAATCCGTCCATTCTACTTCTACAAATATATAGTAAGTTAATTAAACATTAAGAAAATCTGAGCAAAACACATACATGTATTGTAATTTATTGCACCAATCCGGCTACATCTTCCTTAACTGATTTTGTGTGCGACATGAGTTTTCTTCTCATGAATTTGGATCACTGATTGCTGCCCATGGCACGAAGTTGATAACTTTAGACGCTCTATGAAAGCCGGTGTTCTATCACTTGGTCGCCGCCCAAAATACAGCTCACATTTCTATTAATTAAGGGACTCATGGCAGTTTGTTGAAATACTGGTACTTATAGCACATTTGCAATTGGGGCGTACGCCGGAGTCTAGATTTGTCTAACTTCATACTTAGTTCATATTATTTCCATGAGTAAACACACTAGAGGGCATGAGTCAATCGCTTAAAATCATAACGCCATGTGTCCACAGCCACCACTATACAGCACGCTAAAGGCAAGCATGACCATTCTGCATATGGACAAACCTTTTTCGTCCTAATTAACCTCTTCTGACCTAACCTACACAAGTTGCAACGTTTCTCTACTTTAAACAAACCTGAGCGGAACAAACATAACCTCAATGGCTGCACGAAGTTAGAAAGGCAGTTTAAGTGTGCTGGTAGAGTCAGTAATTGGTTGCAAGAAGGTTGTGAGCCGGGATAGCGTGAATAGGTTGGGCCAGATGGGGTTAGGCCGGAGTAGGTGCAGCCGGATGCGGAACAGGCTGCTTATGAGCGAACATACATAGGGACCTATAAGCTAAAGTCCTACAGCGCTATTATCTTTGAGCAGTGTGCCACTGTTCTGGATTGTGGTTTTCCAGCGTATTCAGTGGCTTCTAGATCTGTGGCTGAGTAAACTTCTTGCATGTTGAGGCTTTGAGTTGGCTTTAGGGTTCATTTAAAAGTTAAGTTTGTGGCTGACGGCTGCGCCTCCCTGGAATTCACAGCCTAGATTGAAAAGATTTTACAGACTAATATGTACGCCTTGGCGAATGCTTCAGGCAACGTTCAATTAACTCTCTTTGTTTATGGAGTTGGCTGAGGCTTGTCAATATTTGTGACAAGCCGCTATAGCCGTAAATTACAAACACAGGGATCTATTGGCGGTATTCTTTTTCGTTATACTGTGTTATATTGCAGGGAAGACAGCGCAGAAGAGGTGGAAGAGCGAGGCCTAATCACAGGTCTATAATTATGCACGTAATCGTAACTAGGATAAATAATTCAATACTTGCATACAATTGCAGATCAGGTGCCGATCATTTATAATTGTATCCCGTTAGGTCAGTATTTTGAATTCCATTCGAAGGTTTCACAGACCAATCTAAAATCCTATTTCATTACTTCAATTTAATGAAACGCTACCAATATCAATGTGACATTATGTCCTGCTTTTGGATTGGACATGATTTAGTTTGAGTTTGTGACTATTACGTAGATTCATTGCCTGGTAGTTAAACTGAGTATTTGACTAAACTGTCGTACTAACGGACGCCTCATGAAAAATTTAAACACAATACCTGCACGCTGAGCCAATTCAATAAAGTGGCTGTTATGAATTTTTCTACTTGGCACGGCGTTAGTTATTCTTGGCCCATCGTGAAAATAAGGTTGGCCGTTTTACGAAAGAACTCAAACGGCAAAAAATATCTTAGATTTTCTTTAAGCCACAATATATTCATAATGTGGTGCCTGGTTAACTTGTTACCAACAGATGAAAAAATTGATTGAAAACTTTGATTCAACATTAATTTACATTCAACAACAAACAACTATGCATAGTTAAACATAGATGTTCGTCCGGATTTTTTAATGTGATCTGCTTGATAAAGTCGAATTTCATCTGTTAATGCTAGATTATTAATTAATTGCTTGAATACTTAGTGTAATCATTACATTACATTGTATTGCTTTGGACAAAATTATTTATAGTGGTGAAGTTTTATCACTCGTATGGGTGGAAATGTTTGATAAAAATCGTAATTATGCGCAGGTGCTTGCACGGCGGTATGTCGTGTGTCCGCGACGTGCTACGGTGTGGCGTTCGGTGCCATGTACGTCCCTAACCAGACCATCGCCCTCGGCACCCCAAACGTCTGCCACGTCACTACAAAACCTCAGCTACCCGCCTACCTTGCTGATCAAGCGGGCTACATCTCGTTTATACGCGATACTGGTACAGAAAATTAATGAAGCGATGTCACAACACATGAATATTTTGATTATTACATTGCTTCTAAAGTATATCAAATTGTACGGACATTAAATTGTCTAATCGAATATAAAATTAGTCTTGAATATTCAATTTTCGATTTAATATTCAGGTAGTCTCATGTACTAAATTGGTAATCCGAGGTTGCGACGAGCTTCAGGGTTACCAGAACCTAGGTGCGGCCGTCTGCATCTGGCTGTCCACCTACACTAGGAACTGGATTGGAGCGCAATACGAGTGCCAAGCGAAGGGTGGCCGCTTGGCCGTTCTTGATACGCCTGCCAAGTACAAAGCCGTTGTCGAGCGACTCAAGGCAACCCGTGAGAAAATAAAGCTTAGTCTAATTACTTTATTCATACTGGAACTGATCCCGAATTGCATCTCATTGTTCATAGTTGTTCCGTTGGCAATACTAATGTACTTATTACTTCACCGTGCATATTAATACTGAAGCTTGGCTTGGTTTATAGTTTAGATGTTCAAAATTTCCAGTTGATGCACTGACTGGGCTGATATCGACAAACTTTTCACAGTACAAGTCATGCATATAAGTGTCATTCATTCCAGTAGCCATGTTTTTTTATGTTTTCGCACCCCCACCCTACTGCCCCGATTCCTCACTTATTCATGCATACAAAATTGTTAATTTAAAAAAGAGTAGGATCATTCAATGATTCGACAACAGTTACATGCCTCGACGCGACTATGTGAACAAAGGTTCATGCAGCGTACGCGTCAATAAATTTATGCATTTCAAGTGGCGTCAGAACGCCACTTGAAACGCGTCAGAACGCGACGCGTTGACGTCGAACGCACGCGTTATATTTTAATTCAGTATTAATCAACTTCGACAGACGCGTTCTCACTCGCGTGTGGCAATTGACTTCGAATAGACGCGTACTCGATCGCGTCGTCATTGCCATCGAACACGCGTGCTTGCGATTAGTTCAGTCTCGCCCATTGACGAATTCGTGGAACAACACTAAATTGAACTAACCGTCACTGGGCGGCAAAGACTGAAAGTGAAGACTTATTGGTCTCAGGTCAATCTCAATCCTTCAGAATCAGTCCCGTAGTGGAAACGGGCCTTTACGTGCGGACACTTGGCTAAATCCAGAAGCTTCTGCAGCAGCGAAATGAAACTTGGTTTGTCGCTGTAGTGACCCATTTGTATTTGTAATGAAGTTAATCGATCGTAAGTTTTATACGATAACAGTACAAGGCCATTCGATGTCTCAAGTTTAATCATGATGCTATAATGGAAACGATTACCGACTTGTATCAAGACATAATGGAGTCACCATGAGCAAATTTGGAGCTTGAATGAGCGAGCATTATATGCCTATTGACAGACATTATTGCTCCCTGACAATATAAATAGAGCGTGCAGCATCAAAGCGAGTTACAAGACCATGAGATTAAAATATTTTCAGAAGTTGTTGGTAAAATAAAAATTTAGGGATCTGAGTAAACCTTGGTATTCTCTGGAAGTACAGCGAATTGTGAATCTTTTCACATGCTCCAGGAATTTTTCACATTTTCACACCATACAACCATTTTGAAATTGATTGTTGGTGCCTATCGTTGAAAAACAGTTCAGACATGTTATACTCGATACGAACTGTTGTCTGTCTTTTTCTTGTCAGTATCGGTTTGATTTCTATCACACTCGCATTAGCACCGCGACCTCGACTTACGAATTCGTTAACCTATTGTAAATGCAACCCAGTATTTCCCATGATTCGGTAAGTGCCTTATCATTGCTCGTTTACCACAGATGCTTGTTTTATATTCTGTCTGGAATTACTCGAGTATTTTTAAATTTAAAATACCATAATCGCTTTCAAACTATGAGCTTTGCATTTTTGATGATATTGCAGAAACCATATCCGAACTACAATAAACAGCTCTTGTCCCGAATTTCAACTCGCCTCAAAAACCCAAAGGTTTTCTGAATATAGACGGGGGATGTAATTTTCAATTGTGCCAGTATTTAATGAATGAATTTGCAGTATTCTAAATTTCAAATTAATTTTTCTACCTACAGAACCGAAACCGCCTAGTCTCTTCGTGAACGCACTGGTGTCGCAATCAGGCTGGCAATGGGAAGGTGGAGCTAGTGTGAACAACACTTTCTGGGCGCCCGGAGAACCAAGTATTAATAATTATTATAGTCGTGGAATGTTGAACAGCGACAAAGGCTACCTGCTAGCAGACGTGAATTGGTGGGATGGGCATTATTTCGCTTGCCAGGGTCCTCCGAAATTTTGAACTGCGTGACTTCAAGTGAATGCGAAACATGATACGAAAAGCTTTCACAGTTGGCGCTGCAATGACCCAATATACCGGTTGCTGTAGTGAATTGCATAATTATTTATGCTCGGAGTTCAAATTTAGAGTAGCACGAAAAAATTATTATCAATGTCACGAATAAGCATATGAGGCGAGGTCTATCTGAAACTCATATAAAATATAGCAGCTGGATGTAAACCATGTGATCGCGTGTATCTACGTATATGTATATAAATGAATTATATGCACCAGATTAACGTGCAGTCATCTCGCCTAAACTTTATGACCTTATTACTTGTTTAGGACTTCTTAGTCCACGGTCACGTTTCTAAGTCGTCAGTAGGCAGGTCGCCCCGCCCTCTGGTTCCGGAGGTAACGTTGAACGTGTTCCGTCTACCTGCCCTCGTTTGGGCCAGCTGATGCAAAATGTCGTTTGTCACTTGATTAGGGTAGTTTCCCATAACCGGACGATCCAGGATCTTTTTCAAAAACTCGTTCAGTCGTCTCTTGAATGTCGCATGGTGAACTTCCCTCCTTTCAGCACTTTAGGCAAGGCATTAAACAGCCTCGGTCCTGCCACGGACAATGATGCCTCACAAAGAATCTACACTCTGGCCGTAGCACGATCATTAAATGGAGGAATCCTGCACGGTCACCTCCTACTTTCGTTGTAATAGGTCACTATTTTGGACGTCTCACTTTCAGAGTTAGTAGTCAGTCCTGTTATTATCTTCAATGTGTGCAGTATGATATACCTACCTCTCTTCTCTCCAGTGAGTACAATCCCAATTGTTTCAACCTACCCCAGTAGTTCAGCTCCAGCTCCCTCATACCGCTGATTTTGGACGTGAAGGTCTGCTGGACCGACTCCACTTTCATCACCGCCCCCGCTTTGAGCGGCGCCTAAGCCTTATAACCAAAGCTGGCAGCAGTACCCAAGATTCGGGAGCACGAGGGCTTTGAAGAGAGTTTACTATTAATTACCTTTATTAAACTAAACTATTAAACGAAACGAAACTAGTAAACTAAACGAAACTATTAAACTAAACGAAACTATCAATTTCTCTCGTTAATTTCGTGACGAAAATTTGTTGTGTGGAAATGAATTTTCACAAGATTTTCGCTCATTGTAATCCAATTAGTGGTTTGGTTTTGGGAGACAAGAATCTCATTCCACTACAGCAATGCATTTTTCAAATGTTTAAATGCGAGTTTCGAAAACTACAAAATTATGAAAACTGAGATCCTGGAACAAATGAAAAAAGAAAACAATTTCCAAATCCACACCTCAATATTGCATTTCTGTTTATCCATAACGCCTCTCATTTTCCCGTTTAATCCGGGATCGAAGAATAATTGAATGCAAATTTAGTAATGGGATGTGGAAAAACTCACAAAATGGTACATGCAGAAAACAATGTAAACTTGTGAAACTTGGAAGATAAATAATAGCTTAATTATAAAATCCAGCTGAACATTTTCTTGAAGCAGTTGGCAAGTGCTCGTTAGAGGAACATATTATTCACAACTATTCCAGACACAAAGACTCAACCAGCAGCCCATCACCAGTTAATCATATTTTATTACCACTGATTATACGATTTTAATGAAACTTGCATAAATATTAATGCTTGCAAAAATATGTAATTGGGGACCTTCTTCGCACAATATCGAATAATGAGTGCTGTTTAACCTCTACCTTGAAATCGGAGTATCATTATTTTCGGGTATCAACTAGACTTAGATTCAGAACTAAATTTGTCAACATGCAAGGTATTATGATATAAGTAACTATGGATCGAGTCATTAATGAATTCATGCTTTAGTATAAGTGAATATATATCACAGACTATATTGCAATCACAGCACCTGATTGAGATAACGCCTTAATTATCCAGATAGTCGTTCAGAGATATAACATTTACACTTTGATTGTGTTTTCCTCGTTGAATCCTGCTAATAAAAAACATAACTACAACATAACTGATTCATTCACATCTGAAATTTGAATACTCTTTGTGTATTGTACAGGAATAGAGATACTTGAATGTCATACCAAATGGTAACAGAAGAAGTACGATGCAAATTAATGCAAAAATATGGCTGGTAAAAATTCGTCCTCCAAAAATTGTGCTTAAATATCGATTGTAAAAAGAAGCAATTATTGAATAGCGTTATGAATAGAAGAAGATACTGTAACTTGCAATATTCCTAACATTTGCCATGGTTAGAAGTCTTGAAAGGAACCACCAGAAGTTTCTTTCATACGAAAATCCAAATAGTGATTCGTCTTCCATCATTTTTCCGGTGTCGGTATTTTCAATTCATCATTAATTTGTCACAAAATAAGCTTCGCGATGTCATGAAGTAACAATGTCATGATAGGCCCATATATCCTTTATTTTAAACATTTTTTTTCAACTTGAGTTTTAATCCATATTGCATATTGTAGCTTTTTTTTAGACGAAATATGAAATTCGTTTTTCCGTAATTTTGCATGTTCTGCTTAATATTTGAAAAAGCTCCCATATACAAGGCTCTATCTTTCTTAGCGTATTCGGTAGCGATTGGCTGTCGTTTTTGGGTCCATTCCTTCTTGGGTTACAAGAAAAAGTGCTTTTTGGAGGACAACGCCACATGGGGGAAAGAAAAATTCGTTTATCACGATATTTAGCCATTGCAATTGTTAAAAAATTTGTAATAATTAGATTTATTGATCTGTCTACTCAACCCGGGATCGTCGGTTGATCCATCCTAAAAAGCTGATTCGGTCTTGATTAGAAAGTTTTTTTTTTCTGGGAACACAGATTTTAGTTTAAAAAACGCAGAACATACAATACTGAAATTTAATTTTCAAACGTAGCAAAAAACATTTTTTTCGTGAGTTCATCGTAAAAACTCCCTGTGTCATTGCGATTATTATGATGATTTCTCGATACAACAGTGGAATGTGAACGTAGTGAATCTTTAGCTATTTTCAATCAAATTAGCAGACAGCGTCATGGACACTTTGTTCCTCACCTGGCGACTAGAAATAGTCTTTCTTCTTGCTATCGTAATATCTACTAAATTTAATTATTGTTGATTCACTTAAAATATCATTAAAGCATTATTTAACAAATAAAAATCCCAGATTTAAAATCAAGAAGAAAGAAACATTTTAGAGCGACTCTTCAAGGCATATGTATGGAAGAAAATATAAGGTTTAATAACATTCGAATAAATTATACAGCCATCAGCCCTGGCAGAGCAATTAAATGTGACGAAGATACCAATCTTCGAGCAAATTGATGAACCAGAATGCAGAATTTAAATTTTTGTACGTGAAGTGTCAACTGGTGAGCTTCATAAGGGTGGATACCACCATCAGCGCACAGCTGATTTATGTGCGCTGCTGCTGGCGCGGTCTCTGCATGGGGCGTTGGCAGCTCAAGTGCTCCCCAAGAACAAATACTTTGCCCTCCACGACAAGAGACTGGACGCCGCATCCGTCACCTCGTATCGCCTCACACCCAACCTCTGTGAGTTATACGTCGATATTGATCCTTTCAATATTTATTTTATGTGTGGAATAAATCTACTAATTAACCACTTATTACATTTTTTTTAACTTCATCCTATTTTGATTGAGATCCCAAGGCATGTTAATTTTCGCTAGGTTTCGCTTGTGAAACCTAGTAAAAATTTCCTAATAATGAAGGCAAACAGCCACATTAATTTTATGATACATTTGTCTCTCTTGAATTCCGTACAGTAAGAATAATCATTATGCAACTTCGGCCTTTTGTACAGGAAACACTCAACAAGTCACGAACGCGCATCATTTTCTTAGTTCCCATTTCCATAGGAATGCAATAGGTAACATTGCAAATTACAATTCATTACGATATCAGAATATATATAAAAACATTCACAATGATCGAGCAGTGAGAAAACAAAAAAGAATATGAGAACGCTTCACAGTGAAGCGAGATGATTTCCCGCTATAATGGATGTTTCTCAAAGTGAGTGGAGAAAGTTCACTCACTCGGGTCAGATACTTAACACAATGAAAGATGAAAATTTAATGTTAATGAATTATGATCCGGATACAAGTGTGCACTCAATTTATCACCACATGCGGCATATCGTTCGGAAGTTTACTTTCGCCACATTCTGCCAGTGTTTTCGAATGTGCTCGTAAAAGTCGTCCAAAATCAGATTTGATGAGCGGACTATTCTCAATGAATGCTAAAGAGGGCGCACTGTATTGCATTTTCCAGTAGCAAGTGAATCGTGTCTGTTCAACTTGTAGACATCGTGATAACTTCTAAGTCATGCTTTACCCTAATATCTACTCAGGTTATTGTAATTTAATTGATGCTGATAGGCGACAGAAAAATATGTCATTGATGTTGAAAGGCAGCAGAAAAATATGCCATTGATGTTTATAGGCGGCAGAAAAATATGCCATTGATGTTGATAGAGGCAGCAGAAATAAATGCCATTGATGTTTATAGGCAGCAGAAAAATATGCCATTGATGTTGATAGGAAGCAGAAAAATATGCCATTGATGTTTATAGGCAGCAGAAAAATATGCGATTGACGTTGAAAGGCAGCAGAAAATTATGCTAGTAATGTTGATTGGCAGCGGAAAAATATGCCATTGATGTTAATAGGAAGCAGAAAAATATGCCGTTGATGTTGATAGACAGCAGAAAAATATGCCATTGACGTTGAAAGGCAGCAGAAAAGTATGCTATTAATGTTGATAGGCAGCAGAAAAATGTGCTATTAATGTTGATAGGCAGCGGAAAAATATGCCATTGATGTTGATAGGAAGCAGAAAAATATGCCATTGATGTTGAGAGGCAGCAGCAAAATATACCACTGATGACGATAAGCAGAAAAAAAATAAACGCAGGCGGGAAAGTTGGTTCATTTAGCCTCGTACTTTCAAATGATATGTCATCCCAAATAAAAATTTAAGGTGGCGCATCGATAATTATCAGTGGCTACAGGTGGAAATTATTGGTAGAGCACCGATGGCGCATCGATGCGTCATCGATGGCGTGTCCGGCCTATGTTCCATCTATAACCTGCCTAAGGCCACCCTACTCGAAAAACTCTTCTTCCACCAAAAACTGCCCATTGGCACCGGTGGCGCATCGATGAACCACCGATGGCCACCTTTAAAATGAAGTCGATAAAAACTTTTCCTTTAGCTTCACATACGATGCATTTACATTTACTGACATTGCTCCAGACAACCATATTCTGAGTACTACGTATGAATATACCCCCTGGCAGTACAACTAACAATGTCAGACATGTAACAGGAACAAATTATCAGAGTACCATACACATACCTCGTGAGAAATCGACTTGGATAAAGTCTCAGCCGGCAGGATTCGAATTCCGATCTCCCCTACGCGAAGTAGAGACCCTTTACCGTTGCGCCATCGGAGACGACATGGCAGTCGAGCAATTTTTAAAGATTTAACTGAAGTATTGCAAATATTAATTTCATCGAATGATAGAAGTTAATGCTCCCACCGTGATGATTAGATGGTTCCATTCGCCATTTTAAATAAACATGCTGCTATAATCGAGAAAATAGCCGCTGAAAGATACTTCGTATATCCATAACGAACGATGGTTCAGCTCAGAGCAACGGCTGCAGGAAATTGCTTGATGAGTATCGTAACCTGCCTAAGGCCACTGTACTCGAAAAACTCTTCTTCCACCAAAAACTGTCCATTGGCACTGGTGGCGCATCGATGAGCCACCGATGGCCACCTTTAAAATGAAGTCGATAAAAATTTTTCCTTTATCTTCACATACGATGCATTTACATTTAATGACATTGCTCCAGACAACCATATTCTGAGTACTACGTATGAATATACCCCCTGGCAGTACAAGTAACAATGTCAGACATGTAACAGGAACAAATTATCAGAGTACCATACACATACCTCGTGAGAAATCGACTTGAAGAAAGTTTCAGCCTGCAGGATTCGAACTCCGATCTCCCCCACGCGAAGTAGAGACCCTTTACCGTTGTGCCATCGGAGAGGACATGGCAGTCGAGTAATTTTAAAAGATTTAATTAACTGAAGTATTGCAAATATTAATTTCATCGAATGATAGAAGCTAATGCTCCCACCGCGATGATTAGATGGTTCCATTCGCCATTTTAAATGAACATGCTGCTATAATCGAGAAAACAGCCGCTGAAAGATACTTCGT